TGTCTGGCCTCCACCAGTGACCCACCAGCGCGTCCGCCTAGGTCCTAATGCCGGTGCACTAGTCCGGGCCTCCAATCTATACACTCCTTCCCTGGCTCTGTGTCTTATCCAGGGGTCTGCGTGTATCCCGGATGAGCCCCCAAATGTTATATTCTAGATTCACAAGGCCACAGGACAGAGAGACAGAGTCACCGAGGCTGTAATTATCAAAAGGAGTTTTATTGTCTAGCTTGAGCTAGGGTCCAAGCCCCCAGAGTGCCAGCGCAGTGGCCTCTTCTCCGGGCAGGTACCCTCCTTTGTGTGTTAGTCCCCTTTTTGTAACTTAGTTGTTTACACACTGGTCATGCATCTGCCCCCACAGTGATTTTTACTTCAGCCTGCCCCTGATAGGCCCTAACCTGTTCCGGGTCCTAGCCGAGAGACTCAGGTTTCCGCTGTCTTTGTCTTTTTCCTCTGCATCCCATAATATACTCATAATGCCTTGTGGTTAGCAAACAAGCAGTAAACAGAAGCTGGAAGGTATCTATTGTCCTTATAGCCCAGTATCTTACATAAGACCCTCCTTGGATCATAACCCCCAAAACTGCTCACATGTCTACCTCTCTTACATTTCTAGTTCTTTCACCCCCTTATACTGACTATTCCTTAACTTCATTGTTACCTCCATAGCTTCTTGACTTGTCAGCTTTCTGAGTGCTGCATATTGGCTTCTGACATCATGCCCTTCTCTTCTCACCTTAACTTCATGATGCTATACTTTGATAGTAACTAAACTGTCTACAAACAACCCCTTGCTCAATTATTCTTTTGCTCCACCTGCATAGCAAAAACCCAATTGTGGCTTAATCCAATTCTCTGCCACTCATCCTCCTGGAGCAGGATTCCTCAACCTCAGCATTACCGACATTTTGGCCTGGATGATTCTTCATTGTGAGTGCTCTCCTGTGCATGGGAGCATGTTTGGCTTCATCTTTGGCCTCTACCCACTAGATATCAGTAGCACAACACTCCTTGTTGTGACAATCAAGAAATGTCTCCAGGCCGAGTGCGGTGGCTCACACCTGTAATCTTAGTACTCTGGGAGGCCGAGGCAAGCGAATGACTTGAGATCAGGATTTGAGACAGCCTGTATAAGAGCAAAACCCCATCTCTACTAAAAAGAGAAAAATTATCCAGGTGTGATGGCCTGCACCTGTAGCCCCAGCTAGTCAGGAGGCTAAGGCAAGAGGGTCACTTGAGTCCACGAGTTAGAGGTTGCTGTGAACGATGCCACGGCAATCTAGCTGGGGCAACAAAGCAAGACTCTGTCTCAAAGAAAAGAAAGAAAGGAAAGGCAAAGGCACGGCAAAAGGGAGAAGGGAAAAGGGAAAGGAAAGGAAAAGAGAGAGAGAGAAAGAAGGGAGGGAGGGAGGGAGGGCGGGCGGGCGGGCAAGTGGAAGGATGGATCTCCGGACATTGCCAGATGTTTCTGTTACCTGTAGAAAATAGAGAAACTAAAACTGAGAGTCCTGCCTCTGATGAAGCAGGAGAGAAAGAAGCCACGTACCATTAATACCATACACCATGTCTGGGCACAGTGGCTCACATCTCTGATCTCAGCACTTTGGGAGGCTGAGGTGGGAGGATTGCTTGAGGCCAGTTAGTTTGAGACCAGCCTGAGCAACATAGCAGAGATGCCGTCTGTACAAAAAATTTAAAAATTAGCCAGGCATGGTGTTGAGTGCCTGTAGTCTCAGCTACTTGGGAGGCCGAGGCAGGAGGATCGCTTTAGTCCTGGAGTTTGAGGCTGCAGTGAGCTATGATGATACCACTGCACTCCAGTCTGGGCAAAAGAGGTAGATCCTGTCTCAGAAAAAAAAAAAAAAACTACTCCTTGACCATGGCTCTCCCTGTCAGAATTGTGTGCACTCTGTAACATCTTTGGTTGTGAGTAGTCCTGTTTTCCTATTAACTTTGTTAATGTGCTGTGAAAGATTGAAAATTTGAGTGTGTAGTGTATATGATATTAAATTCTGACTTGGTAGGACAGCTTATCAACATTTGAAGATACTGGTATTTGATATCTTCCCCCCCCTTTTACTTCCTCATATTATGGGGGTACAAGTATTGTTTAGGGTCACATACATTGCCCCTGCCACCCTTCCTCCACCTCGCCATGCTGGAGCTTCAAGCATGTCCAACCCCTGGCTGGTGCACACCCTTCCCTTCCTCCCCCCTCCTACCTGCCCACCACCGGATAAAAGTTTTGGGTTTTTTTTTTTGACATTTTGGTTACATTGTATATCTTTGCCTCTCCCTAAAAAGGGTTAGAGGTAATCTCTTTTCTCCTACAATGCTTTTTAAGGAAAATTTGCTTCCAAATTTCAAGCTGGAAAGTCACTGGAATAACTGTTTAAAAAGAATGACAATACATGGCTTTTCAGATTTTTGGTATATATGTTAAGAACTGTGTACAAATTTAAATGTCTGTGTACTGATTCTCCACACAACCAATAAAATCTCAATTACAAAAGAAAAAAGAACACAATGCAGCAGAAGTCATAAAAGAAAGCAGAATATCCTTCACTAAAAAGCCAGCTGTTCTGGTTGTTCCCATCCTAACAGGGTGTACAGTGACGATCAGTTCGTTGTGGATGGAATCAGTCAGACACACTTGTGAAGTCCACGTTACATAGCTGGAGTCGTCAAGCCCCCACCAAGAAAGTGCAGGTGCATTTCACAGAAAAGCCATTTGATTGTTTGGCGAGAACCCTAAATCTAAAGGGGAAGGGTTACTCCATGATGGTGAACAATTTCTTCACACCCATCTCTGTGGAAGGCAGTTCAAAACGAAGCGAGACTGGTAGAGCTGTATGTGGAAAGCAAGCGGAAGACACGGTGGGACGGCCTGACTCACTCCAAGAAAGAATGCAAAGAGAGGGGAAGGCAAGCCCTCCTGCAACACCAACACGGAAGCAGCTCCCAGTGAGGGACTAAGGAATGTCCTAAAGAACATTTATGAAGACAGAGATAGTGATGTGATGAACCATTAATGCAGCCCAGGTGGAGTCAAGAGGGAAGCAAACCAAAGGGACACACAGAATTTTGAGATTTTAAAGTCCTTTTGGGAACTGATATAGAAATACAGACGTTTCTAATAAGGAAATGTTGCTACACTATACAGATAGATTTGAGAGAGAACTATATTTACACAGCTGCCTTCTAAGTAAAGGCAATTCTCCATTTCCTTCTGGAGGATTTATTTAAGTAAAATATGTTTTTAAATGCTTCTTCCAATGATAGTTTTGTTATTATCCTGATCATTTTGTTCAAGAAAGGGTTATATTGAATTCTTTCTTCTTCTTAAGATAGTCTCACTCTATTGCCCCGGCTAGAGTGCAGTGGTGTCATCATAGCTCACAGCAATCTCAAACTCCTGGGCTCAAGCGATCCTTCCACGTCAGCCTCCTGAGGAGCTGGGACTACAGGCATGCGCCACCATGCCCGGCTAATTTTTCTATTTTTAGTAGAGATGGGGTCTCGCTCTTGCTCGAGATGGTCTTGAACTCCTAACCTTCAGTGTTCCTTGTCCCCCTTGACCTCCCAGGGTGCTAGGATTACTGGTGTGAGCCACCACGCCTGGCCTATATTGAATTCTTGTGTGAAATGTAAAAAGTCTTGCCTAATGAAAATGCCACATTGTATATGTTTTTATTGCACTAAAAGGTAGTAAACAAAAGTATTTGCTTGCCTTTAAGTTACTGACAGCAACTCCCACCAGTGTAAGAATAAGTAAAATTTGAATTTTTACATAAAATACAAATGTGTACCTTGAAGTTTGCTGTAGAGAAGTTGACATATTTTCAGCAGCTTAAGCAATGCATATACCATGCATTGCCCTTCATTGATAGTCCAATCACAAGTATTTCTCTATAGATTTAAATATATTATGAACATAGAATTGAAACAAAATCTGAAATTGACAAAGAATAGACAAATATCTTTATATAGTACCACTTGGTGAGTTTTGCCATAGGTCATCATTACTTACAAAAGCAAAAATAACTAATTTGAAAATCTATCCCTATGTTCAATAAAGTTAGATTTTTACTCCAATAAAACCATAATCACTTTAATCCCTATTACCCATGATAACATTATTATCCCAAGGGTTGAAGTGAAGTGATACAGACACACATCGCCTTTCCCCTCTCTTCCTATACTCTTTTTGTTCTTTATGAAATAGAGTGAGATCTGTCTAGAACAGAGTGGAATCATACCGTATTTTTCTTTTTTTGACTGGCTTATTTCACCTAGCATAATGTCATCAAGGTTCATCCATGTTGTAGCTTGAGAAAGGATTTCCTTCCTTTTTAACAAACATATTAGGCTCTTTCATGGTGCTGTATTTACTGCTCCCTGTTCTGAGAGTGCCCACTCTGCTCGTCTCTCTACCAGTCTTCCAAGTGTCGGCTCGCCGGTGGTGGTCTCTGCCTTCCCAGCAGGCTTCAGAGATACTTAACCTGTCACACTTTCCCCCACACCATTTCACCATGCATGCTCTTCCACTAAATAATTATTTTATTTCAGTTGTTTGCATGTTTCCCTCCACATGAAAATCCTCAGTTCTGTAGACAGGAATATTTTCATCTTTATTTTCCTGGATGTCATAGTAATGCTTATAGAAGGCATTACCAAAAAAGTGTGGATGGAACAGGTGAGTCATTCGGCATTTTTCTATAGTCTGTGAGAAGATATGAGAGCTTTGACATTATATGTAAACTTCACACTCATCCTGTAGCTTTTAAACTCAAGTCTATATACAGCCTGTTGCTATATTTGAATTCAGTATTGGTGAAACCATTCACTTTTTTTTTTTTTTTTTTTTTATATTTCTTCCCAAAGTAAATTCCAACCATTCACTTTTGGAATATTTTTTCATGAACTGACTCCTCCACATCTAATAACAGATACTCTTTTGAAACCCAGTATCTTTTCAACTATCTTTTTGGTTTTGGCAGCATAAACTTGAATGGGATTTGCAGCAGAGGGAGGAAGAGATTGCTGAATTGCAGAAGGCACTAAGTGATATGCAAGTCTGCCTCTTCCAAGAACGGGAACATGTTTTACGCCTGTATTCAGAAAATGACCGACTAAGAATCAGGTACCAAGCAGGAGAAGGGAAACGGAGTTATGACTCTAAATTACCTTTAAAAAGATAAATTTCTCTACAGTCATTCTTTTAGGTTGTATTCCCCAGGAAGCAGACTCTGAGACAGAGATTTGCCTGCATAACAGTTACTGGGGAGGCTGTCAGGAATGACACCCACAAGCAGACCTGGGCAGGGGAATTTGAACTGTGGTGACGGTGGGAACAGAGGGCACAGCCAACACTACAGCGCTGAGTCCAGGGTGGCCTTTCAGAGGCCAAAGGATTTGGACTTTTAAATCCCCACATTGACCAATCAAAGGATGCAGACTGTGCCTGGGGAGTGGGTGTAAACTTGGGAGAGGAAGCCCCCTTCAGCCAATTCTTAGAGAAAGACTCAACTCCTGGGAAATGGGTATCTTAGTCCTGAAGAGGGCATCTGAACAGTACACTGCAGCATCCACTACAGTGCACTTGTGTGTGTGTGTTGAAATATACAGAACATAAAATTTACCCTTTTAACCATTTTTATATGTACAGTTCAGTGGCATTAAGTACATTCACATTATTGTGCAACCATCACCACCATCCAACTCCAGAACTTTTTCATATTCCTAAAGTGAAACTATATCCATTAAACAATAACTCCCCATGTCCCCTTTATCCCAGCCCTTGGCAACCACCCTTCTGCTTTCTGTCTCTATAAGTTTGACTACTCTAGGGATCTCAAGTAAGTGGAATTCCATATTTGCCCTTTTGTATCTGGTTTATTTCACTTAGTGTATTATCTTCAAGGTTCATCCATGTTGTAGCAGAATTTCCTTCATTTTTCAGGCTGAACAATATTCCATGGCATGTATAGACCACATTTTGTTTATCCATTCATCCATTGATGGACATTTGGGTGGCTTCCACCTTTTGGCTATTGTGAATAATGCTACTATGAACGTGGGTGTGCAAATAACTCTTCAAGACCTTGCTTTTAATTATTTGGGGTATATACCCAAAAGTGGAATCGGATCACATGGTAATTCTGTTTTTGGTTTTTTGAGGAACTGCCATACTGTTTTCCATAGTGGCTACACCATTTTACATTCCCACCAAGAGTACATGAAGGTTTCAATTTCTCTACATCCTTGCCAACACTTGTTATTTTCTGTTTATTTGATAGTAGCCATCTTAATGGGCATGAGGGAGGGGTCTCATTGTGACTGGAATTTTCTTTCTTTCTTCTTTTGGAGGACTAGGGGGGACAGTGTATCACACTATCACCCAGGCTGGAGTGTAGCAGCATGATCACAGCTGCTGCAACACTGAACTCCTGGGCTTAAGCAGTCCCCCACCTCAGCCTCCCAAGTACCTGGTACTACAGGTGTACACCATCACACCTGGCTAACTTTTAAATTGTCTGTAGAGACGAAGTCTGTCTGTGTTGCCAAGGCTGGTCTGGAATTCTAGGCCTCAAGTGATCCTCCCATTTTGGCCTCCCAAAGTGCTGGGATTACAGGCATGAGCCCACCATACCTGGCCACATTTTCTTAATGATTAATAATGTTGAGCATTTTTTCATGTGCTTATTAGCCATTTGTACACATTCTTTAGAGAAATGTGTACTCAAGTCCTTTGCCTGTTTTTGAATTGTGGGTGCTTTTTTTTTTTCCCCTTGGCCCATTGTGGAGTTTTAGGAGTTCTCTATACATTCTGGATATTAAACCCTTGTTAGATAGATGATTTGCAAATATTTTCCCTCATTCTGTAGATTGCCTTTTCACTTTCTTAAAATGGTGCACACAGGTTTTTAATTTTGATACACCCTTGTTACCTGTGCTTTTGGTATGACAGCCAAGAAATCATTGCCAAATTCAATGTCAAGAAGCTTTTCTCCTATGTTTTCTTCTATAAATTTTATAATTTTAGCTCTTATGTTTAGATCTTTGATCCATTTTGAGTTAATTTTTATATATGGTATTAGGTAAAGGTCCAACTTCATTCTTTTGCATGTGGGTATCCAGTTTTCCCAACACGATTTGCTGAAAAGACTTAGCCACATGGTTTCTTGATGTCTCATGGTCAGGTGCTCCATTGCTAATGGGATCTAGTAGCATGCCAGAAGCTGTTTTTCAAATGTTATATCATTCTCAGCTGTAGATAGCATGGTTTACTCCAGAGTCTGAGAGGGGCTATGTTATGATTCTCATAATGGGATGTGCCATAAACTCCATTTGGTACCTTGTCCCACCACAGATACCATAGGATCTGCCAGGTCACATGTCTTAAGCAGCAGAGCTGTTTGTGGTGAGCTCACGTGGAGCCTCCTTTCAACTCCGGGCCACACTGAATGTTTACTGTCTGTGTCACTTGATATATGGGTGAGAGCAGTATTCCAAAGTACAGGATATGTTGTGTCCAGAACCTGAAAACTCCTTCTAGGCATCACACTTCTTTCTTGGTGGTAGTAGGTGCAAGAGGCAATAACTTATTGTTTTCTTTGGAGGGAATGTCCTGACAGGCCTAGGTCGGACCCTTAAAAACTCCACTGATGTGCTTGCTTTGTAGGGTTTATATCCAGCCCTCTGGAGCACATATATCTATGAAAGGTACCAATGTGCCTGCTGTTTCTTGTCCATGCAGTCTGATTTAACATGATATCATCAATAGTGAACTAATGTGATCTGTGAAATAGCCAGATCTAGGTCTTTTTATACCATATTGACAGAGAATAAAATAGTTGACATGGTCCTAGGGAAAGACTATATTAAGTACACTGTTGTCCTCCTCACATGAATGTGAACTGCTTCTGGTCCTTTCAGGGATGGAAAAGAATATGTTTGCCTAATCAGTGGCTATACATACCAAGTACCGGAGACCTTAGTAAAGATATTACATCTGGCACAGTGACTGCCTTAGTAAAGATATTGCATCTGGCACAGTGACTGAGATTGAGACCTGCTTGGTAGTAGTCTGCTGTTTCCCTCCATAATCCATCCATTTCTTTGTTTTGTTTTGTTTTTGAGACAGTCTCACTTTGTTGTCCAGACTACAGTGAGTGCCGTGGCATCAGCCTAGCTCACAGCAACCTCAGACTCCTGGGCTCAAGCAATCCTTCTGCCTCAGCCTCTCGAGTAGCTGGGATTACAGGCATGAACCGCCATGCTCAGCTAATTTTTTTCTATACATTTTTAATTGTCCAATTAATTTCTTTCTATTTTTAGTAGAGACGGGGTCTCACTCTTGCTCAAGTTGGTTTTGAACTCCTGACCTTGAGTGATCCACCCGCCTTGGCCTCCCAGAGTGCTAGGATTACAGGCGTGAGCCACCGCGCCTGGCCCAGAATCCATCCGTTTGGTGAGGGTCATCCTTACGAATGAAATGAGGATTTGATAAGGACTCCACCACTGCATTCTTAAGGTCTTTATTTACTGTCTTGGTAGGGAGGTTTCAAAGGCTTTCACTTCACTTGCCCACAAAGCCAAGAAACTAATTTGAAGATTCTGCCACCTACCAAGTATGTGCATTTTAACTATGCATTTGGGAACTTGGAAAACGACCACTGATTGGTGGATGCAGTAGATTTCTGTAAGCTGAACCTGGGCCAAAATTCCATTTATTACATGGTCCCCATATGCCCCAGTGCCATGATAATGCTTCAGGTTATCAGGTACCAATGTTGGCTCAGACCTTGTATCCAGCAATCCTTAAAACACCTGGGTGGCCGGGGGTGGTGGTTTATGCCTGTAATCCTAGCACTCTGGGAGGCTGAGGCAGGCGGATTGCTCAAGGTCAGGAGTTCGAAACCAGCCTGAGCAAGAGCAAGACCCCGTCTCTACTATAAATAGAAAGAAATTAATTGGCCAACTAAAAACATATTAAAAAATTAGCAGGGCATGATGGCACGTGCCTGTAGTCCCAGCTACTCAGGAGGCTGAGGCAGGAGGATTGCTTGAGCCCAGGAGTTTGAGGTTGCTGTGAGCTAGGATGATGCTACAGCACTCTACCCCGGGCAATAGAATGAGACTCTAACTAAAAAAAACCAAAAAAACACCTGGGTATTCCCTTTTCTCCAGCTTACATTCACTTAAATGAATAAATGGCCATAGGCCATTTGGGTGAAGACTAGGGAAGTCACTACCATGTACATGTGTCACTACCACATGAGGCCCTGTGGTGTCACAGGGCCTCACCTCTGGGAAGATCCATTCTCTTCTTTTAGGTAGTAGTGTATGGGATTTAAAACTGGCTTGGATCTGGAAAATGAGTCAGAGATTGTGGTTTTTGTACGGGGTGTAGTCCTCAGCCTCTTTTCTGTCTTGGATTTATTTTGATTGTTTAAGCCAGGGGTGGGAAACCTGCAGCCTTAAGGCCACATGTGGCTTCCTAGGTCCTTAAGTGTGGCCTTTTGACTGAATCCAAATTTTACAGAACAAATCTTTTTATTTTTATTAATACATTTTTCTCATCTTTTATTTTTTTAATTTTATTTATTTATTTTTTTTGAGACAGAGTCTCACTTTGTTGCCCAGGCTAGAGTGAGTGCCATGCGTCGCTCGCTCACAGCAACCTCAATCTCCTGGGCTCAAGCGATCCTCCTGCCTCAGCCTCCCGAGTAGCTGGGACTACAGGCATGCGCCACCATGCCCTGCCAATTTTTGTATTATATATTTTAGTTGGTCAATTAATTTCTTTCTATTTATAGTAGAGACGGTCTCGCTCAGGCTGGTTTCAAACTTCCTGACCTTGAAGCAATTCCGGCCGCCTCGGCCTCCCAAGAGTGCGTAGGATTACAGGCGTGAGCCACCGCGCCCGGCCTCATCTTTTATATTTTTATTTTTAAAATGAACATATGTAAAATACCAAAAATAAAAATAAGTTTCAACAAAATAATCCTCCCAGATTGACCGGCACAGTTAGAACATTAGTAAACCGTAAGGCCTAAATTGACAGCTGCTATACTCATGCTTTAGTTGTAACTTCCCCCGCCTGACTGGTGCTACCACCTCACGTGGCTGGTTGGTGAGAGATCATGGGGGTCGAGTATGCCATTCATTTGTCAGCTTTTGACAGTAGTGCACTGTGTTTTTGTTTGAAGTGAAATGTGTGAATAGTTGCATGGCTCCACAGTATTTTTTAATTCTGTCTTCTTAATAGCCTATCATGTCAGAGAAGACCAAGAGAATGCCTAAGAAAGAAAACCAGATTTTTTTTTTTTTTTTTTTTTTGAGACAGAGTCTCGCTTTGTTGTCCAGGCTAGAGTGGAGTGCCGTGGCGTCAGCTAGCTCACAGCAACCTCAAACTCCTTGGCTCGGAGCAATCCTTCTGTGCCTCAGCTCCGAGTAGCTGGGCTACAGGCATGCGCACCATGCCTGGCTAATGTTTGATAGTATGATTCAGGTGTGTGCCGAGTTAAGTGTTCTTGTGCGTATGTTTAGGGTGAGGTAGTGCGGGGGGGGGGGTCTCGCGTCTTGCTCAGGCTGGTTTTGAACTCCTGACCTTGAGCAATCCGCCTGCCTCGGCCTCCCAGAGAGCTAGGATTACAGGCGTGAGCCACTGTGCCCGGCCTAGAAAACAGATTTTTTTAATGCTGATTGGGAGTTGCAATATTACCTTGTTTCCTGCTAAAGATAAGATGATTTGCTTGCTTTGTGATACTGCAGTATCAACATTAAAGAAATTCCATGCTCATCAGCATTATAACATTCACAAGGACTACAGATATTTTCAATTAGAGGGAGAGGCATGAAATTTATTACAGAAATTAAAAGATGAAAAGCAAAAACAAAGACAATTCTTTCAAGTAGTAATAAGACCTGGAAATAATGCCACGGAAGCAACTTATAAAGTAGCTTATATACTTAGGGGAAAAAAGGGAAGCCATTCAGTGGTATAGAAATTATGAAAGAATGCATTGTCAAAGTTGTAGGATGCTTAGACCCCAAAAATGTTTCAAAGTACAAACAAATGCCTCTTTCAAGAAGAACCATAACTGATCAGCACTATGAATTAGCCTTCAAGTTAACAGAACAACTTCATGCAATATTTCAAAAGGAAAATATATATTATTCAATCACTTTGGATGTATCAACTGATACTACTGACTCACTGTAGGTTTTATACTTCATTTGGGTCATAACAGATTTTCTTTGCTACTAAGAGTTCCTCGCTTTGGGCACTCTTGTGTACAGAACACAGAGAATAGGTATCTTCAGAGACTTTCAAGATAAATGTCATGAAGTTGGACTGAATTTGATAAATTTAGTGAGTGTATATACAGACAGTGCACCTTCCATGATAGTAAAACATGAAAGGTTTATTGCACAGATAAAGTATTAACAGATCCAGATGCTCTCATTTCTTTTCATTGTATCTTGCATCAGCAAAATCTCTGTGCTACAGCTACTTTTTAAGTGACACTTTGCAACAGTTATAAGTATTGTTAACTATATTCATGCAAATTACAACATGGCATCATCAGTTTTGTAACATGAGGTGTTCATTGTGGATTTGTGGTATCATTGGAAAGTGTGTTGGCTATTGCAGGGACAGATGTGGGCCAAAATTTTATCTCTGCAAGAATAGATAGTTAAATTTTATGAAGAACGGAATCAGCAATGTAAATTACTGAAAGAAGATTAAGAAGACTTCTATAGCAATGCAGCATTTCTGTATCATATCATGTCAAATCAAAACAACTTGAATATTTCTTCTCAAGGTAAAACTAAGTCTATATATGATATGTGGCAAAAAATTCAAGTATTTCAGAAAAGCTACCTTTTTTCAGAACACTTCTTCAAAAGGAAATTTCAGATGAACGTTTTCCCGAATTAGAATCATTTGAAGAATACACAGCTGTTATGGACCCATTAATTGGAGAATACAATGAAAGGTTCACTGACTTTGAGAATCATGACGTCACACTCAACTTAGCATTTCAGCCTCACCTAGTTGATGTCACCAAGGCACCTAAAGAACTACAGATGGAATGGATTGAGCTCTCAGTAGATGACATTTTAAAGTCATTGTTTGATGCTAAGAAAGATCCAGTTGAAAAATGGAAAAATGCAGTAGAATACCCATGCCTTTGGCAACATGCCCAAAATATGCTTCCATGCTTTTCAACCACTTATTGCTATGAATCTACATTCTCCTACCTAACCCAAATTAGGGTGCCCTTAAGGTCACAAATGACTGAAACCCATCTAGACTGAGAATCAACTGAAACTACAGACTTCCATGCTGCAACCAAATATTCAAATACTTTCCAGCAAAAAGCAGACACAACAAAGTCATTAAAGGGTTAGTTAACTTTAACGAATAGTTTTTGTTTTTTGAAATTACTAAATACATAGTAGTTAGATTTTTACAAAATAATGTACATTTTTAAGTATATCTAATTGAAGTTTCTTTTTATTTTATTTTTTGTGTGTGTGAGACAGAGTCTCACTTTGTTGCCCAGACTAGAGTGAGTGCCATGGCATCAGCCTAGCTCACAGCAACCTCAAACTCCTGGGCTCAGCCTCCTGAGTAGCTGAGACTACAGGCATGTGCCACCATGCCCGGCGAATTTTTTCTATATATTTTTAGTTGGCCAATTAATTTCTTTCTATTGTTGAGTGAGGATGGGGGGGGGAGGGCCTTGCTTCTTGCTAAGTGGTTTTGCATTTTGACTGAGCGTCCTCCTGCCTTGGCTCCCAGAGTGCGTAGGATACGGTGTGACCCCCTCACCCGCTTAATTGAGTTTGAATGGAGCTTTTTGATTACGTAGATTAATTGCGCCTCTCAGACATTGAAGGTTCCACCCTGATAAGCTTACCTGGTGAGCTACAGTCTATCTTGCTCCCTAGGGCACCGAGTTCATACAACTTATCTCCATTCACGTGTTCGAATCCCTTTTTATTTATTTATTTATTTATTTATTTATTAATTTATATTTATTTATTTATTTTATTTCGGCATATTATGGTACGTGTTCAGAGTTTCATTAAGATGCCATTTTCGGCCGGCACGGTGGCTCACGCTGTAATCCTAGCAGTTTGGGGCCGAGGCGGGCGGATCGACTCAAAGGTCAGGATTCGACCAGCCCTGAGTGAACCCCGTCGTGCTACCAAAAAATGAAAGAAATTCATTGCACAATAAATTATATACAAACAATTAAGGCCGGCATTGGTGGGCGCATGCCTGTGTCCGTACTCGAGGCTGAGCCAGGGAGTCGTGAGCCCAGGGAGTTGGGTTGCGTGGCCGCTGACGCCAACGGCACTCCTTCTGGGCACACAGCGGGATCTGTCTCAAGAAAAAAAAAAAAAAAAAACTGATTCCTCCCTCCCCAATCTGGGTCTCCATCATGACCATCCCCCAGATGGTGCACATCTCACTCATTATGTGTATATATACCCGCCCCCCTCCCCCCTCCCACCTGCCCAATACCCTATTACTGTAGTACCTATGTGTGAAATCCCTTTTTAGAGTTGCTTTCTTGGTCCAGTCCTGATAGCAGCTGTTTTAGGTTGGGTTCTCTGGGAAATGGACCATGCAGTGGAGATGTACCTGCAGGAAGTTTATGGGGAGGTGCTCTGAGAAGTAATCACCTATGAGGAAATAAAGCCTCACTGGGCAGAGGGAGAGTTTAAACTGTGATTCCGTCACAGCAGGCTTCAGTCAACACCAGAGGACTCCGAGACAGGGATGGCCTTTCAGAGATCCAGAATTGGGGTGAGAGGATTGGATTTTTGTACCCCTCGCTAGATATGGGCTGTACCTGAGGAATGAGAGGCATGAACTTCTGTGAGGCCATTCCCTTTGGCTGAGAACTGTTCTGGAGAGAAATGCAACTATGAGGCATTGGCAGGCCATATTCCTGGCACTTGGGGTTAGTCCTAAAGAGGAAGGCCAGTGCTGCGCACCTCAGCATCCAGCACAATCCCTTCTAGAATCAGCTAGAAGTTATTTCTTGGCCCTTTCACTCTAAATGGAAATCCCTGCTGTTTTAAAGGTCTAGATGAATCCTATTCAATTTTAATTTGAGGTACTATTGTTTTAAAAATAAGTGAGAAGAAGATCCTTTAAATAGAAAAGGTTACTTGGAATGTATGATGTGTACTTACTTTCTATGAAAATTTCAGGGAGCTAGAAGACAAGAAAAAGATTCAGAATCTCTTGGCTCTTGTGGGAACAGACACTGGAGAAGTGACCTATTTTTATAAGGAGCCTCCACACAAAGTAGGTATTCTTTGGTATAGCAACATGAATGTGGCTTTTAGAAAACAACAGGCAGGAATCTATAATCAGAACAACTGTAGTATTTGCTAAAGAAAACAGGTAGAGAATTAGCCATCATAATCCTATGTCTACCTGAGTTTTGAAAGCATTTTTATTGAAAAACCTTGGGAAGTAGCATTGTTTACCCCATTTCATCATTTATAAATCTAAAGCACAGTGGGGTAGATGTTTTAGCTGAGATTAGAGAGGAAAGCAGGAGCAGACTGTGTGGGAGAAAGTTTTGGTACTTAAGTTTCTTTTTTAATCTTTGTTTATACTGATTATGAAAGTTATATATGATCTTTATTAAAACAAACACACAGAGTACAGAAATCTATCATACAAAACTGGCACTTTCTCATAATCCTATATCCTAGAGACAAACCATCATTAATAGTTTGGTATGTATACTTCAGCTCCTTTCCCCATTCAAACATTCATACTTCTATGCCATTTTGTGCTTATTCAGGTCAGCATTCTTCAAAAGACTATCCAGGCTGTAGATGTATGTGAACAGAATGAATCTTCAGCTTTCAAAACAGGTAACAACGACATCACATGTTAGGAATTCTCACTGACATAGAATTGAAAATCACAGTGAGAATAATTAGAAATGTTTTCTTCCTACACAGTGATAATTGATGTTCATAATGATGCCTCTGGTGATCTAAGATCCTAATGAACTCTTTGAATCATCTAAGGAATTAAATTTTGTTCAGTACAATTTTTAGTGTTGCTTTTTTTTGAGTCAGAGTCTCACTCTGTCACTCCAGGTAGAGTGCAGTGGTGTCATTGTAGCTCACTGCAACCTCAAAATCCTGGGCTCAAGCGGTCCTCCTGCCTTAGCCTCCCGAGTAGCTAGGACTACAGGTGCATGCCACCATGCCTGGCTAATTTTTCTATTTTCAGTAGAGACTGGGTCTCACTCTTGCTCAGGCTGTTCTCAAACTCCTGAGCTCAAGTGTTCCTCCCACCTCGGCCTCCCATAGTGCTAGGATTACAGGTGTGAGCCATTGCCCCTGGCCTAGTGTTGCTTATTTTTAAAATAACCTTGTCTTTTGAAAGTTGTGTGATACGTCATAACTAAAATATCTAGTTTTTCCTCTCCCTTACCCATTCTGATTAAATAGGATTTTACTAAGAAAACAGACACAACTCTAAAGGAAAATTTGTAGTCAATTCTGCCAAAAGATGAGTATGATTAGGTGACATCCTGCAGAGTTCGCTTATAGTGATTCCTGTTTGAAAAGTTAAGCACTCTAGTTATTATGTTTTCCTGGTTTTTTCTTTTGTTCTCTTATAAGTAAATAAGTCTGAACTCCTCTGCACAGGTAATGCTGATACTTGAACAGCAGAAAGAAAAGCCAAGCAAAGTCTTCTTGATGAATTTTTGTTTTTTATTTTAGATCCTAAAGTAAGCAAAAAAAGACCAGCAATGAGAGAGAGGGAAGAAAGTTCTGAGCATTACCAAAGAGACATACAGACACTCATCCTACAGGTAAAATATTTGTTTTGGCAGACTAAGATGGTTTCTACCCACAAGTTTAGAGTCATATGACATACCTTCAGCATCATAAGTATCTCCTTGCACACAGGCTAAGAAAATTCAGTTTCCTCCTAGTTTCCAAGAGCTTATATTTTAAAACTGTCATTATCTATTTGAACATTCTAGAAGTGTTATTCTGAACCTGCTATTCAATATGCTAAGCTCTACCCAACAAAACATCATATAATAAAGTAAGGATTCACTTTGTGATTGGCCTTGGGGATACACAGAGTCTTGCAGAGGGAAGAAACTTATCTATGCTGATGATTGACATTTGAGGGTATATGCATTTACTTGGTGCATGGGTTCTAAAGGCTAGCCAAGTAATGAATTATTCTCTAACCACCTGGTAATTGTGTGTCATTTGGAACCATGATTTTTCATCTAGTTTCATAAAGTTCCTGTCCTTATTGGGGTGGGGCGCCATTGATTTAAATGACAGTTTTTACCTTTGGCCAGTATCTCCATGTAGAGTTATGACAGCCAGACTCAGAAAAAATTTACTTTATATGCATTATGCTCTACTTTTTGAAACCAAAAACTAAGACAAGAGTCATTCTGTTCCTGTGCAACCAGGGTGTCTAAAAAGGGAGAAAGTCCCAAAAGTCCAAAAGGGAGACAGCGAAAATGCAAAGTCATAAGATAGAAGAAACCAAATTTTGTAGCTTTCCTTGTGTGATGTGGATCCTGGGCTTAGTGTGAACAAAGAGTCTACTCTTGTATAGCCTGACCTCATTTATAAGATATTAAGAGGATTAGGGTTGGAATTTTTCTACTATTTGCTACTGTGTGGTTGGAGTTTTTGTTTGTTTGTTTTATAATTTTTCTGGAGAAAGGCTCACTTTGAGCAGAATGGAGGGAGTGGAAGCCGGAGTGGCTGCCTCACCCCTTGTCGGCCTGTCTAGGTGGAAGCACTGCAGGCTCAGCTGGGAGAGCAGACCAGGCTCTCTAGAGAACACGTCGAAGGACTCATGGAGGACAGACAGATTCGCATTGAGGAAATACAAGTTCAGCACCAGAGAAATCAGGACAAAATCAAAGAGCTAACCAAAAGGTGAGTGGCCAGAAAGCTGTACCTGAAGGTGTTTTATTTTTCTGAATGGCTTAAAAGTTAACAGTTCTGTACTTTAGCAGCATAGGATCATAGAACTGAAAGGGACCCTGAAAAAAACTGTCTTCATCAGACAACCCTGCCTCTAGGTAGGTAAGTATCCAGGCTTTTCTAGGTATGCAGTTAAGTCTCTTCTTGAAGAGCTGGTTGAGTATTCCACACACCCCTTTTAACCGTTTTAGTATTTTAGCTTGTTTCTAGTGGTTAAGAAACATTCTTTTGTCCATCTGACTCAATGTAATAGTGCCTTCTTTTTGTTGTTTGGCCCTTTAGTATGGAAAACATGACTTTACATACCTGTACAAAAACACGTGCAAACTCTCTACACTCATGGTTTTTATTCCTTACCTGCTTGCCTTTCTTCACCTTTCTGCAGTCTGATTTCATCTCCACCATGTTACTAAACATGCCCTTTCCAAGGTCATCATTGCCTTCTTGGTTTCTAAGACCAGTTGTCTCTTTTCAGTCCTTATTGTCTTTAGTATCTCTCTGTGTATTTGGCATCACTAATCACTCCCTCCTTGAAATTCATCTCCCTTGATTTATGCAGCACCTGTCTAACCATCCTCAGCCCTTTGTTTCCAGTGGCCAGACCTGTGACATAAAGACATCCTCCATTGAATATGTTTGAACACCTCAAATTTACCATTGCTGAAACCAAACTGTTGCTCCCAACAAATACTCCCTTCCCCCATCTCCAACCTACTACTTCACCCTTTCCCCATTTAGTTTCATGGTATCATATCATATCTATTCTGTTTCCCAAGCTTGAAACTTTAGGATCATCCTCAACTCCTAACTCTCATATTCCTTAATTCCAAATCCTCTGGATTGTAAGCCTGCAAAGCCTCCCAAATCCATTCTCTGCCCTCTCATTCTTCCCACATTGATTCAAGCTTTATTTCTTTAAGTTGTTGTAATAACCTAACTGTTCTTCCTGTCACTGGTCCCTTTGTACTCTACTGTCTTCCTCACCACTGTGAATTACTGTTTCTATTAGGAGTTATCAGCTGCTTAAAAACATTTGGTAGCTCTCCATTTACCTTATGATAAAGTCCTGATACCTTTGCATGAATCATTAGGAACATGATCATCTGACAACAAATTAGCCTTTCAGCCTTGGCTCCTCCCTTGCTACTTGTTGTTCACCCTGTGCCTCAGCCAGACTAATAATAACTGCTTTTTACAGGACACTTGTTATATGTGGCAGCACCTTGCTACACAATGTCACGGTCTTCTCTGAAGACTTCCCCAGGCTGAATTAAGTTCTTCCTCCTCTAATTCCCATAATGCTTAGTGTGCCTCCAGGATGGTGCTTGTCACCACATGTTGTGATTATGTCTTTGGTCACAGGGTCTTGCTATATAGTTTCTGCCCTGATCTCTCTGCACAACAAGCACACGATAAATGTTGGTTTCATACTTAATAGTCCTTATCAAGTTGCACCTCACTGTCTTTTCTGCATTAAACATCCTAAATTTTAAAATATTTTTCATGTTATATTCTTTATTCTTTTATCATTTTTTAATTTTTTCAAATTTTTCTAGTGTCTCTTCTTCCATTTTAAAGTATGGTGATTAAAATTGGACATGATACTCAAATTAGAATCTCTGATCAGTGCAGGATAGAAAATATGTCCTGGCCCATACAGGCTGTTTCTTTTAACATAGTATAATATGTTTGCACTTGGCCAGTACTTCTCCATTTTCATTTTTATTTTTGGTATTTTTGTATTAAACATAGCATCTTGACTTTTCACTGGGTTTTGTTTCTAAGGGACTGATATTTTTAAATTATCACAGTAATTTGTAATTTTATATATGTTTTCCAGAATAGTAATAACCTTACTCATTTGTCATTTTGTGCATATCTGAGTACATGATCAGTTCCTTCCATTAGATAGATCATCCTAAGGATATTGAATGACATGAAATCCAAGGCCATTAATGGCTGCCCTTTGGGTGTCACTTTCAAACCATTTGTATTTTAACAAGACCATACTCTCCCAGTTTGTAATTGAGAACATAATGTAAGACAGAATAAAATAACTCATTGAAAGCAGGGGAGATCCTTGTGGTAACTGAATCAATCTCTACACACACACACACACACACACACACACACACACACCTCTGAATAACTATATATATTCATCTGGTGACATTTACTCTACTTTGTGCCTGGCACTATGCTATCGTTTTCCCTTCATCTATGTACCCTGTTACTTGTGAAGAAAACCAAGTGGATCTGACATTATTTGTTCAGTAGAAAACTATAGTGATTGCTTAATGGTATTTAATACTCTTGCAAGCAGAGCATTTAATACAGTATTTTTCTAGGTGGTGATGGAAACATCATTTGTCTATTCCTAAATCTCAAGAAATAGTCATCGGGAATCGATTTAGTGCCTTGTGTATATCCAGTAGTTGATATTGTCCTTGACAATTTGGTAGCAGTGGAGCAAAAATAAATGATAAATAAGGTATATGCAGGCCGGGTGTGGTGGTTCACACCTGTAATCCTAGCACTCTGGGAGGCCGAGGTGGGAGGATCACTCAAGGTCAGAAGTTCAAAACCAGCCTGAGCAAGAGCAAGACCCAGTCTCTACTAAAAATAGAAAGAGCAGTCCTGGAAGATAATAAAAAATAAAATTAAATTAAATTAAAAAAAAAAAAATAGAAAGAAAGTAATTGGCCAACTAAAAATATATAGAAAAAAAAAAGTGAGCTGGGCATGGTGGCTCATGCCTGTAGTCCCAGCTACTCAGGAGGCTGAGGCAGAAAAATTGCTTGAGCCCAGGAGTTTGAGGTTGCTGTGAGCTAGGCCAATGCCATGGCGCTCTAGCCTGGGCAACAGAGTGAGACTCTGTCTCAAAAAAATAAAATAAAATAAGTTATATGCTTTTACTCAGGCTGGGAAAAAAATACATGTTGACAGTTAAAATAGGACATAGTATATAAGCAAGTTTTAGATTAAGAGACAGCAATATATATTAAAACTGATGGAATTTCAGGGAGTGGAGATATTAAAATGGGCTAAAATTGTTGAGATGACTTTATAGAGGAAGTTGATCTCGGGTAAAAGGACAAGATTTTTTTTTTTTTTTTTTTTTATTTTTCTTTTTGACAAAATACCCTCAGATTCTAAAAGGACAAGATTTTGATATAGGGCAGTTGCACTTGGAGCACAGCATAAGTAAAAGCAAAGCTGTTTTTGATATTTTAGAACTAACCCTCAGTCAGAACACCATGATTTGGTTCTTTTTTGTATTATTCTTGGGAATAGTCTGTGCTTATGCAGGCTACGTGTAAGTATTTCTGTAGTCTTTCTAATCATATAACCTGAAATTAGTACTCAGGAAAATATTTATAAAGGCCAATCTATGAATCAGTGAGCACGAATGGTTACATTATGCTTTGCATAATTGACAGTAAAACATGCCAGATTGCCAGTGATCAGACTAAGTTCATTTTTAAAATTGCTAATAATATTTTACAAAATTCATATATTGTACAATTTTTTTTTTTTGAGACAGAGTCTCACTCTGTTCCCCTGGCTAGAGTGCCGTGGCGTCAGCCTAGCTCACAGCAACCTCAAACTCCTGAGCTCAAGCGATCCTCCTGCCTCAGCCTCCTGAGTAGCTGGGACTACATGCATGCGGCACCATGCCCGGCTAATTTTTTCTATATATTTTTAGTTGTCCAATTAATTTCTTTCTATTTTTAGTAGAGACGGGGGTCTTGCTCTTGGGCTCAGGCTGGTTTCAAACTCCCAACCTTGGGCGATCCAACCGCCTCGGCCTCCCAGAGTACTAGGATTACAGGGGTGAGCCACCACGCCCAGCCTTATTGTACAATTTTAAAAGAACCTGTATCTTCCCTTTTAGAATAACCCTTTATTTCAGATGTGCTGTGTAAGCATCCTCATGTCCACACTTGTACTTTCTTTTCTAGTCTCCATTACACCCAAAAACTGCTCTATGAGAGCACCAAAGATTTTTTACAACTCAAATTTGAAAACCAAAATAAAGAGAAGTCATGGATGCTTGAAAAGGATCATTTGATGTCAAAGATTAAGCAATATAGGGTACAGTATAAGAGGAAAGAAGATAAAATTGGAAAAGTTTTGCCAGTTATGCACGAGAGTCATCGTACCCAAAATGAATATATTAAGGTAATGTCCTTATATCTATCTTACAGGTATTGTTAATTTTTCTGGAGGAGTTGAAAAAATTCCAAAGAACCTATGAATTGTCATATAAGATCCATTCAGTCCAGGAAGCTGTTATAGGAGTAGCCTCAAGAAATAGGTTTCAAAGAGTAGCTGATCATCATAGTATTTGGGGATTTAAAATACAAGACTGTTGATTGATTGATTCATTCAACAAATATTTATTACACTCCTACTATTACACTCCTACTATAAGCTCCGGAGCTACAGCAGTAAATAATCTAGACAAGGTCTGCCCTCATAGTGTTTATATGTTAATGGGTGAGAAAAAACAGAAACAACAAATACCTAAGAAAATCATAGATTATGAAAAAGTAGCTTTAGGCAATAAAGGGATTATATGCAGATTATATGTAATTGCTGGATGCCTACTTTAGAAGGGGAGCACAGGACCCTCTCCTACGTCTGGTGTTTGTGCTGGGACCTGAAAAATAGACTAAGCTTGCCATATAGACCTAGGGGAAGAGCAAGTTTAAAGGCCTCGGGGTACCTTAAAGGAAAAGGAAGGATGTCTTTGTGCTTGTAGAGGCATGTAAGAAGGTTGGAGGGGAGGCAGCAGCCATCGTGGAGGGGCTAGAGGTCATAGTGAGGCACATGGACTCCACTCTGAATATCGTCGTGTCTGCGGGGCCTGTGTACAGGGAAGTGACAGGATCTCATTTAGGTTTTTAGAAGATTGTTTTGGCTGCTCAGTGGAGCATGTATAATAGTTATTGTTGTTAATATTTCTCCCCTTTTAAAGAACTTCAGAAATGTAGCTCAAAACATATTGTAATATCTTACTTGGAACAGATTCTGAGCTTCGTTATTGGACTCTTCCCAGAGCCAAAAATATTTGTTTTATTTTAAAGAATTTCTACTATGTACACTTTAGAAAAAGGGCTTAAGAGAATAGTCTGAAAGTGGGAGATTTTCAGATGTTTTTCAGAATTCCTTGTTATCTTATTCCTTAACTCATTTTGTAATTCTGGAAATCCCTCCCTCCCTCCCTTCCTTCCTTCCTTCCTTCCCCCCCCCTAAGTTGTATAACTGAGTATTAATATTTTTTGTCTTTTTGGCCTGAAGTCCCTAAAGGATAAGTTAACACAAGAGAAAAAGCTGTCTAACATGTATCAAGAGCAGTGCATTTCCCTAGAAGAAGAACTTGCCCGAATTCGTGAGGAAGAGGGAATGCGGAGAGAGATCTTTAAGGTACAAAATTCTCTGCCACTTACGATGGAATGGGACATGCAGATGGCTCAGGGGAATGCTTCCCTCATCTTCATAAATGTCTTCCCTTTCTCCACATTTTAGGACCGCACTAACAAGATGGGGAAGCGTTTACAAATAATGACAAAACGCTATGAGGCCTTGGAGCATCGGCGTATCTTGGAAGTAGAAGGCTTTAAGACAGATATTAAGGCTCTCCGACAGAAACTGAAAGACTTGGAGCAAATGCTGTATAAGGTAATTGCTAGTCCTGAATTATCACAAGGAAGAAAAGAGGTGGAGGTGAGGAAACATGGTCAGAAAGGCTCCTCAGAAGAAGGATGTGCCATTTCCCTGCTGGTAGATGCTAATAATCACCATCCTTTAAGCCTCCCTAAAAATCAGTTCAACAAGCACACACTAGAGGGAAAACAAAAATAGACTGAAATAATTGAATGACTACATCATTAATATTTCCATCAAAACTAAACTTAACAGAAATTGTCATCTCTCCCAATTCAAAAAGTAGACTAAAAAAATTATGTCTATTTTACAATTGGGGAAAGCAGGGATAAGTAATTTTTCCCAGTCAGACACAGCTTTCTAGAAATCAGGTTGCTTCAAGAGCCTTCTTAAAGAGGTTTAACCAGTTAGTCACATATCTTAAGTGATTGCTGTGCTCCAAACAAGTTAATTATGAAAAGCAGAGATACTTTTTACCCCATATAATGTTTATATTGGTCTCTTCTTTTTACCCAGTTTTAGTTGTTTCTTGATCTCTATCTCAAGCCTCCTTTCCTATTGTATGGGGAAGAAAAAGCGTTGTGCCTTTTCTACTTTAATTCTATATTTTCCTTCTTCTGTCAATCATTGAACAAACTAAGGATTGCATTTATCCTATGTGTTCAAAAGCCCATAAAAAGGAGCCAGCCTGGTCTTTATAACTGATTCTCCCCTGATGTATGCAATAATCATTTCTTCTTCTTTTTTTCAAATCCCTAGGCAACGGTTAATGCTCGGGCAAACCAGGATCTTGCCATTCTTTGTGAGGTCCGTGACAGCAATAGACGGGCACATAAGATACAAGGAGAACTAAAGAACCTTAAGTCCAAAGTGTTTGGTCTGGAGAATGAACTTAGACTCTGTTGATGTCTCCTTTTGGAAATGGCCCCCATTTGGAAGAGGGTCTGCTTCCTGAAATCTGAGAAAAATGATATCTTCTAGAAAGTTTAGACCTAGAGTGGGCTAGAGTAGTGGGATACATTATATTATAAAGACAGAGTGAGGAATCAAGGACCACTAAGAAAGCTTTCCTTGCACACTAAGCTTTATTTACAATTTCTGCTGTCCAGTTAGCTCGCGGGGGTTGGGGAAACCTGGCTTAAAGGCTTTCATTATTTCTCCTGTTTATATTAACAGGTTTTTGCTTTTTTAAGAAGACGATGATGAAAACTTAGGAAGAAAGTATTTTTCTATTAGCTTGGCTGAGTGTCAGTCTCTTTACTTTCCGTAAAGAGATAAAGGCACTCACTGAGGTTGTCTTTCTCCTAAGCAGAGGGAAAAGGCAGCACTTCTTAACTTGTAAAATTTGCATGGGCGGTGCTTATGCAATTTACCCTTTTTCAGTCATGAGCATGTCCTGAATTACCTGGCTGGACAGTCTCATAAAGTTTCGCCAGAGGGTGCTAGAGATCCTACTCTTCAACATATTGCTCACCTAGAAAAGCAAAGGTGCCACTTGGCAAGAGTGAGTGAAATCGAAATGATACTTGTATGAAAAGTTTAACATTTTATCAATAACATGGCATTTTTTAAAACAATGTGTATATTCTAACTATTTTCAATAAATTATGTAATTGGAAATATTCTATTCACTTTTTCTATAATTTCTTACTAAAACCACATTTATATTTTGTTAATGACCTGTTCATCTCCATTTACTTCCTTGTCCTGTGAACACTGCAGTATACAAGTTTTTCTAAGTGATTCCTTTGAAATCATCTGCTATTGGAGACAGCAAGGGTAGTGTAATACAAAGGTGATGGCACTAAAACTTTATCCACTTTTGGGCAGATTACTATGCATTTGCAGCAAAATAATTGTTTACCTGGATAGCCTCTGGGAAGCAAGTTGGTCTTAGCTTAGCGTAGCATCATTCTGATTTACTCAGGGCATAGGAAATAACTCAGGTTTTCATTTTTTTGTTGAGGAAAGTAGTGATTATACTGCCAGCAGGAGATGTTACCTATGATAGCAGATCCATTTTTTTCGTGGATAAGTTGGAACAGATACCTCTGGAGGGCCCCAGTCCCAGGCCTTAGAGAGATTTACATAAGTGGATGGTTCTTCGTTTTATCCTAATACTTAGCAAATTGGCTTTTCACAACTGTTCCGTTTTTTGTTGCTGGCAAAGCAAAAAGGCTTATTAAATCAGAGAAATTTTGGAGTAAGAAGGAATCTTAAATATCATATAATCCAGCTTATTTATTTTATATATTACTGAAGTCTACCATCATTGACTTTAGCAGTCAGTTGATAATGTTGCTAACATACTGGCCTCAATTCCAATAACATTCATCTTCATATTAACCACCCACAGGCATGGCCACTGTAAACCATATCATCAGTTAAAACTTCTCTGAAGCAGAATAACAAAGCACAGGCTTTGGAGAATCACAGATACATGATATATTGAATCACATCTCTAACTAAAACTCTCTAGGCTCTAGTTTCTTAAGGCTATAAAAGAGAGAAATCCCCATGTTTCAGCAGGCTGATGGTGAGGATTAAGAAAATGAAAATCCAGTATCCATAAGATATAAAGAGCTCTTACAACTCAACAATAAAAAGACTGCACAATTTAAGGCTGGGTGAGGAAGCTCACACCTGTAATCCTAGCACTCTGGGAGGCCAAGTTGGAAGGATGGCTTGAGGTCAGGAGTTCAAGACCATCTAGAGCAAGAGCGAGACCCCATCTCTACTAAAAATAGGAAAAATTAGCCAGTCATGGTGGCGCATGCCTGTAATCCCAGCTACTCAGGATGCTGAGGCAGGAGGATTGCTTGAGCCCAGGAGTTTGAGGTTGCTGTGAGCTAGGCTGATGCCATTGCACTCTACCTAGGGTGAAAGAGTGAGACCCTGTCTCAAAAAAAAAAAAAAAAAAGTGGTATATCCATACGGTGGTATATTTTTCAGCCACAGAAAGGAATGAAGTTTCGATACATACTACAACATGGGTGAAACTAGAAAACAGTCTGCATAGAAGCCAGAAACAAAAGGCCACATATTATATGATCCCGTATACATGAAATGTCCAACTAGGCAAATCCACAGAAAACAACAGATTAGTGGTTGCCAAGGGCTGAGAGGAAGGGGAATAAGGAGTGATGGCCAATGAGTACAGGGTTTCTTTTTGGGGTGATAAAAGTATTATAGAAATAGTGATATGGTTATAAAACTCTATATACTGAAAAATAAAAAGGGTGAATTTTATAATATGTGGGTTATATATCCATTTTGAAGATTAAAAATTCCATGAAATGGCATAGTCGGGCATTCAATTACAATTACTATCTATATTTTGGCTTCAATTGACTTCTTATCACCATTGGCAATCAGATTCCATGATGTATTTAATACAATTCATTCCTTGAGCAATCTATTAAGTGCTTTTTATATGCTAGAAATTGTGCTAGATCTTAAGTTTATAGAGAACACTAAAACACTGCTTGTGCTCCAAAGGTCGATGGGAAAGGTAAACATAGAAATAACTCGATTTAGTAGTGAAGTGCAGTGCTGTGAGTGCACAGGACAGAAAGCAGCAGAGAAAATGACTTATAGGAGGTATATTGAACTGAATCTTAACAGTGAATGTGGAGTCAGACAAGAGGCTGGGATCCCACGTAGAGGGACATGTGTGAGGGTGGGGAAGAACAGAAGACAAAGTTATATAACATAGGACATAAGAAATGGCAAGAAATTTCATTTAATACAATTACACAAATCTTAAATATTTCAAGACCTTTTGAATCAATTGAAAACATTTGGGTTTACTTAAAAATGGGAGAAAAAAACCAAAATCTGAACTGTTTTGTGATATCGATGCATACATGAGAAACAGAACTGGGAATGCAAATTCCCTTTCTTGAAAATTAGGGGTAGAATATCATGCAGTAATAAATACAGGAAATTTTTATTTCCTGAGACATCTTTGTACTGAAGATCAGAGTAAGGCACAATCACTTGATACTAGGATTTATTGTAGTATCTGCAGGACCAAAGTAAAGGATGGTGCAAAAGATCTTTGAAAGGAGCCATCAGTATCATTTGCTTTGCATTTTAAAATTTCTCTTTTAGCCTATACATATGAGTAGCTTAGTAATAAGTCACCTTTTCATCCATGAAATTTATGTGATTTTTCACAACATAAAATAGCCTCTGCCTATGTTATATTTTGATCCAGTCTTATGATTCTCACTGCCTCTCCACCCACACCACACTAGCTGGGCTACCAAGATTTACCACAATGTTTGCGACATAGCAGATTGTACTGTCACCACTCTGCATATAGGAGAAGGAAGGGGATGCCACTGTCCTCACCCAGAAGAGAAATTCAGGGCCAAAGCTAAAGGGAGACTTTGAGAATAGAGAGAAAGGGGTGGATTTTAGACATGTTCAGGAGCAGAAGAGGCATCCTATCACTGTGATGGATGAGATGTGAAGCTTAGGGGAGAGTTAAGAACTGTTCTCTAACCTCAAAGTTTCCAGCATGCGGGAATCCTGTGTATAGTGACAGCATTAACTGAATTTCAGCATATATGAGAAGCAGCAGGTTTCCAATAAATTTAGGAATAGGGAAAAGGAAGTCAGGAGAGAAGTTAGGATTAAAGATTTGGAATTACTGACATATAGAAAATAATTGAGGCCGGGCGCGGTGGCTCACGCCTGTAATCCTAGCACTTCAGCAATCACGTCAGTGCCCTGTTCTCACTTCCAGTGAGTAGCCTTGATTCTGTTCCTCTGTGAACAGGAGGCAGTTGCCCTTTAGAGCTGCACACACGCCTGTTCCTGCTGCCTCTGTCAGCTCTGGGTCTCACCCTCCTGACAAGGATACATCTTACCTAGCAACTTCCCTCTCATTCTCCTACCAGTTCTTCCTTTGGCATTTTCCTCTCAGGCTATACATATGATTCTGTCTTCCCCCAGCCTAATACTATCAACATGCCTTTCCCTGTTTTATTACTCTAAAGCTATTCCCATTGTCCTCCTTGGCCTCATCCCTTGACCTAATATAGGTCAACTTCCATCTCTACTCACCAAAATTGTTGTAAATTCACCTGCTACTAAATCCTCAAATCTCAATTCTAATTTTCTCTATTCTTCTGAAGCATTTGACAACACTTCCAAGCTCTTACTTCTTGAAGTTCTCATTCCCTAGATTTCCAGAACATCCATTTCTTGTTATTCATATCATTCCTTTATTACTGGCTACCCTCCTCTGACTGTTAGGGTCTCCCCTCTTTGGTCCTCTTCTCTTCTTATTCCATGTGCTTCCCATTTCTGATCCTCATCCACATCCATGATCCACGTTTCAATTATTTTCTTTTTTTTTTTTTTTTTT